CATTGCCATAAACGCCTTCACAAAATGGTAGGGTGTGAAGTGGTTGCAAAATGCTTTCAAGGGGCAACAGAGCCATGAGGTTGAGTGGCAGCTTCCTGAGAAGATGATACACAGGGATTTGGAGACATTCAGCTCTGCCAGAGATGCTCTGAATTACACCGTGAGAGTCTCTTAGCACCTCAGTGCCCCAGCATCAGTGTCACAGTTCCTATATGTCACCTAAGAGTCCCTGATTTCACTCTGTGCCTGTTCTGTAGTGTCTGCAGGCAGGACTGTGCATGGAGAGGTGGATCAGCTCTAACCCAGCAGAGATAAAGATTTTTTTCTCTGCTGTATCAGTGAGTTCCCTGATCCAACAGTTACAAAGACACCTCTTAATGCTCACTGTGTGTCAACTCCCACCTGTAAAGGGGACTGAAGCACTACTTTGCTTTTATGTAGATGGGTCATGAGCACGGGTGATCAGGGAGAGCCTCAAAGCTGTGGCAAGGGTACGATTACCAACTTAACACCACATCCTTCCTGTCACTCTGCTCCTGGCCACTGGCTGTCCCTGAAAAGAACTCAACAATCTCCCTGAATTCCCAGTCCTACAGGCTCAAGAAATAAGCTTGGAGCTGAGTGGTGAATGACAACAGTAGTGGCTCCCTGACAGCCAGAAAGTCTTTCCAGTCTTTCCCCTTTCCACATACACATCAAGGGCTATCAAATTTGGACTGCAATCAGGCTGTGTGATGTGCCAGTATTCCAAAATTATTTCACTGCAGGTTGCACCAGTTGGGGGGGATATTTGCAGGTTGCCTTCCTTGATTTGCAGGGGGGTATGCAAGTATTCCCTGTCGTTTTGCTTTCTGTAGAGCAGCCTTTGAGGAGGGCTGACTAGCAGCTTATCTGCCTTGCAAGAGAGCCACTGTCTGGTAACCACAGCACACCCCTATAAACACCGTGGAGGGGGAGGAACCCCGCTGTGCCTGTAGCTGTATGTGATATTCCCCCAGCTCCAGAAATCAAAAACATGCAGATTTCTATGCCTGTGACAGATGAACTGGTATTACCATGCACAACACCACCTTTCAGTCCAAGTGCTTATTTTGGGGGCAGGAGGATGATACAAAAAGCCCAGGTCCTAGGGAGAGCTGCCCTGTGAGACATAGAAAGGGAATATGTATCTTGGTCACTGAAACCAAAGCAGGAGTTCCTCAGAGCTGTTCTCAGAAAGTCTCCACCTGGGCACAACAGGTGTGTAGTAGCTGTTGCTGCCAAAAATGTCCAACCCCATGCCTAGTGTGTGCGGTTTATTCTAGGAGCAGGTACCAAAAGAGCTGGGAGCAGGGGAGGGATAAAACTGTCAGTATATAATATATAATACATGTCAGTATATAATACATGTCAGTATTGAAGGTGCACACATCTTGGCTTGTCCAGCTAACAGGCCCATCAGCCAGGCTAGCAGGCTGGGCAGTGTTTCTCCAGTTTCTCACATCTTTCCCTGTGTTGCCTCAGGCTCCAGCATCTCACCACGACAGAGAATGACAGAGCATGAGGACTTCACGAGCTTGACTGGGTCCTGGAACTCCTCGGACACTTACCAGTTCAGCCCTGCCAGCGTCATTGTCCCTGTGGTCTTCTCCATCATCTTCCTCCTGGGCACAGTGGGCAATAGCCTGGTGCTGGCAGTGCTACTGCGCAACGGGCAAATAAGCCACAACACTACCAACCTCTTCATTCTCAACCTGAGCCTGGCTGATTTCTTCTTCATTGTCTTCTGCGTGCCTTTCCAGGCTACTATCTACTCCCTTGAGGGCTGGGTCTTTGGCTCCTTCATCTGCAAGGCTGACCACTTCTTCATCTACCTCGCCATGTACGCTAGCAGTTTTACTCTGGCTGCTGTCTCTGTGGACAGGTAACAGTCTAAAGATACTCTTGGGCTGGGGAAGGGAGGCAATCTAAGAAGCCGGGCTGAGTGAGGGCACGGGAAGATCGTGGCCCACCACCATTAAATGGTTCAAACCCCAGTGATATAGATCCATGCTAAAGGCAGTCTGAGGATCAGTTGTGTCTCCC